CGCAGGGGCCGGAGTGGGGGGCGGAGTCACCCTGTGGGTGGGGCCGCGCGCCCCGACCTGGCTCGGAGCAGGATTCCGCAGTGCGCGAGGGGGCGCCCTTCTTCTGCCTCCGTGTGCTCGTTACCCGGAGTGATCTCCAGCCCCGCTCAACTCCCAAGGCCAGGTCTCTCCCGGGCGCCACGCGTGCGCGCTCCACACCGGCTCCATGGAGCACCGGCCGTCCCCGAGGCCAGGCCCTGCGCTCCAGGATGCGACCGTGATAGGAAAACGCACTGCAGACAGGAAAGCAGTGACAACGGGGCTGGTGTGGGGATGCTTGCCTGTAGCGGTGTGAGTCCGGGTCCTGGCATAGGAGCCGCACGTTCAGCATGCGACCACCAGCCACAGGTGGCTATGGACATTAGCTGAAATCAAACCAAAGGAGCAGGTCAGTTCCTTGGTCGCACCAGCCACACCTGTAGGCAGTAGCTGCCATAATGCACAGCGCAGGCAGGGTACCTTCCGTCCTGTTAGAGCGCGTGGCAGCCTGCGGGAGTGATCCGGGAAGGCTTCACAAAGAACGTGCCATTTCAGCCCAGACCAGTGATTTTCAACCTCTTTCATCACTAATTACTAAAACTCTGCAGCACACCAAAAAATACATGACTTGCCGATCTGACAAAAACAGGTATAATTTTGATTCTTTCACGCCGGATGCTATTGTATTGGCTGTTGCCATTTGTTTTATTTGACAATCTAAGGCAGTGGTTCTCAACCTTGGCTGCACATGAGAATCACCTGGGAATCTTTTAAAATCCTGATTTCTGGGCTTCTTTTTAAAATCCTGGCTTCAGGATTTTAAAGATTCCAGGTGATTCTCATGTGCAGCCAAGGTTGAGAACCACTGATCTAAGGGGGGGAAAGGTCAGTGCCCCGACTAACTGGTCAGGTATTGCATGTTTTAAAAATTCTTGCGGCACACCGGTTGAAAATCGCTGGCTGTATGTCCTTGTGGAAACATCTGGGAAACAGTTATTCATCCAACATACATTAATTAAATGCGTGCAGCAAGCACTCTTCCAGGGAAGAGAATGAAGCAGATAAAGTTCCTTCTCGCATATCAAGTGAGAAAATAAAGGACATGAGCAATACACCAAATGGCAAATAGTGATCCGAAAAAGTAAGCGGGGAAGAAAATGAGTGACTAATGATGGTCTCATTTTAAAACGTCCACTCTGGGTGCAATTGGGAGAATGGACAGCAGGGGATGCAGGGAGCCAGCGGGGTGGCTGGTGGGGGCCAGGTGGTGAAAACTGGCTGACCTGGGATATTTCTGCAGAATACAAATGATGGATTGGATGTGGGGGGTGACAGGGAGGGAGGAGTGAGCATGGTGACGTCTTGAGTCACTCTGGAAATTCCTCCCAGTCCACTTATGGATTAGAGCCCTCGATCTCCACTTCCTACAGTGACTGCAATCATCGATTCCTCTATTTTCCTATGATTCAGTAACTTCTCACAAAACAGTGCACAGAAGATCAATTTCTTAAGCCTTTACATATCTGGGGAAAAAAATGCCTTTATTCTTTTCTCAGGGTCAATTTACACTTGAGGTGGGTGCACAACTTTAAAATTTGAAAACCATTTTCACTCAGAAATGTGAAGGTTTGCTCCTCTGTCTTTGGCAGCCAGCCCTGCTGCTGATATGGCCAGCAGGTCTCTGGGGAAAGTCTCGATCCTTCCCATGTGACCAGGTTTTCTCTCTGGACACTTTTCAGATCTTCTCCTTGTCCTGGGTATTCTGGCACTTGGTGAGAGGAGCTGTACTTTCTGAGCAATTGCTTTAACTTTGCCTTTCAGCTGTGTGTGTGTGGGGGTGGGGGGAGTACCATAGTTTTTGTTTGTTTGTCCTTTTAACTACATATACATTTTAAGGCTTTTTAAAAATATTTTATTGATTTTTTTTTTTGAGAAAGGGAGAGAGAGAGTTAGAAACATCGATGAGAGAGAAACATTTATCAGCTGTCTCCTGCACATCTCCTACTGGGGATGTGCTCAGGGTCATGCAGAATATTGGGTCAGATCGCATCTGGAGATATCTGCAGACCCAGGGGAAAGTTAATTCAACCGCTAGCTGGGCATCATAGTTTTTTGTTTGTTTGTTTGTTTTTTAAGGGTCAGGAAGCACCCGCGGGTCTCAAACCCCAAGGAGGGGTATGTGTCCGTCATGAGCATGGGCATCATAGTTTTTCCTTTCAAGAGCAGCTTCCTTTCTGATTCCATTTTTTGTAGCATCCGTTACTTGCCTTGTGGACACAAAGCCTTTCTTATTTTTCTAAGGGTATTGATTAGAACCTTTTTGAGCTTTTCCTTGGCCCTCTGCATTGTCTCCTGGGTTCCTTTACTGTTTGGGCAGATTTTTGTGACTCTTTCCAGAGGTTTCCAAGTGTCTGGTGATGCTTGGCTGAGCTTTCGCAGTAAGCAGGAGAGAGGAACCAGGGCGATAGATAAGGGGGACTACGTACTTCTGCAAAGACTGTTGTCCAAATAAAGTCCCATTCACAAGTATAGAGGTTAAGACTTGGACCTACATTTTGGGGGTCACCATTCAGCCCACTACACAACCTGTTCCCCAAGTAAATTACGGTGGCTCCCACTCCCATGTTCTTTGTCTTACTCGAGGGAGAGATGTCCTCACAGGATGCTCTGTGCATGGTGCGGTGCTGGGCCCCACTACAGACTTGGATCCAAGGATCCCCTGGCCCCAGCCAGGTTCTCTGTCCTGCTTCAACTTCCTCTTGGTGGAACATGAGTCCCTGTGCTCCTGCTAAAGCAATCACCCCTGGCCGCCGCCGAGCCAGCCGGACCGGGGCTTTCACCCCATAGAATTATTTTCCAAAGAAACTGCATCTGTTTTAAGCTTGTCTCCTTGGGAACCTCTGAATCTCCCAAGCCCGTGGGCTGGGAGGCAAATGCCTTTCGTTTGGTGGCAGGAAGTACCTGACTCCCAGCCAGAGTCAAAAAAGGAAAATTTCTCCACCGAGAGCTGGAGGCAGCATAGGCTGAGGCAGGAGCACAAGGCAGGCAGGCAGCATCCTACAGGTTGGTGGCAACTCCCACTGCTCTTCTCAGAATGGGCTGCCCCGGAAGGATGGCCCTGTCTTTCTTGATTATTTTTGTGCCCGTATACCTGCATGGAGCTTTGTCGCAGGAAGCTGGCCCTACGGGGCAAAGAAAACCGTTTTTCGAGAGGCTCCGCAGACTGGAGGAACAGGTAAACACCCCCCATGCAGGGCAGGTGGTTTTGGTTGGGGTTTTTTTAATTGGCAACAGAAAGACAGAAATGGAGTAGTGAGCCTTGGCGCTCTATGGACACAGGCGTGGAGTTTGTAGTTCTTTTTAGCAGCTGATGTTATTTTCACCGATAGCTGGAAACCAGCAGAAAGGTTTCCCAGGCCAGGTTCTGTGGACAAGTAAGGATTCTGACACATGAGGGCTGGGTGGGAGTCAGAGGTTGGGAGGGGGTAGGAAGCCCCCAAGGGTGCATCCAGGCCGCTGGATCTGTGCAGGGGGGGAGGGGGAAAGACGGGGCAGGGGAGCGGATGAGGTAGCAGCACTGGGCATGCGGGTGAGGTCTTCGGCCCATCAGTCCATCGTGGAGCAGACACTCCCGTGTCAGTTCCCCGCCCTGCATGGACCAGGCCTGCCTCAAGTGCTCGCCACTTTGACCCGCAGAAGCAGTTCACTCGGCCCATCCTGGTGTCCGTCCCCTCACAGGGAGGACCCCGAGGGTCAGGGGTGAAGAGTGGGGGACCAGGCTGGTGGCCTGAAGCCCTCACCCAACACAGTGCTACCGAGTGACTTGAAGCTGGTCCCCCTCCTCCCTGAACTCAGCTGGGAGGGGGCTGGTCACGGTGACTGGCCGGCCATTGGTAGGCACCACAGAAGCATGGCAGGGAAGGCTTGTCTGGAGCCCTCCCGGGCCCCGCCTCAAGGCTGCTATGTGCCTCTGCAGTTCCGGAGGTTCCAGGAGGTGACCCTAACACACCTGCAGGCCATCGCCAGCAACTACAACCTGTCCTACAA